TTTAAGTTTTATTTTTCATAATATTTTTTTATATTATTATTTTTTTCATGTTATCACTTTTTTTAGTCTTATTGTCTTCCACATGTATTAATATTTAACATGCCATCCTTTTCCCCATCAAGTAATGAGACACATAGGCGGATATTTAACAGAATGACTAAATTGTGGTTAAAATGGTAAATAGTAAGGATCAAATCAGAGATTTTTTTAGTTTAAGAATCAAATTGGGGGTTCGTACAATAGTTTAGGGACCAAAATAAGGTTTTAACTTAAGAAATATTTAAATTATCATTAAATTTTAATTTTTACGACTAAAATAGTCCTCAAACTTTGAAGATAATACCAACTTAATCTTTAAACTTTCAAAATAAGTATCAATTTAGTCTTTCAACTTTGATTATAAATGTAAATTTAGTATTTAAACTTTAATTATATATCAATCTAATACATAAATGAAAAAATATATTACAACAATAAAATATAATTATTTGATTTTACATATTGTTAGTATTTAAAAAAACTGATCTTGTGACAAAATAATAAGTTATGTAGCACTTCTATTAACTAAATGACTTCTTTGGTATTAAAAATTAAAGTTCAAGGATAATTTTGGTATTTTTTGAAGTTAAAAGACAATTTTGATACAAATCTAAAAGCTGAGAAGCCAAATTGGTATTTTAACCTAAACAAAAGGTTTGATAGATAAAAGAAAAAGTTTAAGGACTGATCTTCCTTTTTTATAAAAAGTTTGAGGACTTAATAATAAGGCCAAAAACAATTTTATAATGGAAGTTGGAAACGATTTGAAACGCCGGCGTCACTGGAACCCATCACTCGCCATTCCGGTGCCATCACCGCCGCTCTTAGCAGCTCTCCTCCGGAAGAACAGTCAAACCGCCGCACTTCTCCATATCCAGGTATGCCTCAACTCTGTTAAATCTTTGATTTCATTTATACTAAACTTTGATTTATTTGTATATTATTTGATTTGATTAGGTATTTCTTCGTAGATATCCATCTACTCTGCAATTTCTCCGTTGCTACTTGTTGTTTTCTTCAACGCCGGAAGATTTAGTTCAGTACTTGTAATGTTGAAGTTTCTAGGTCATGGTTTCTGTTAATTCAGAACTGATTCTGATATTTGTAACATTTTAGTTTCTAAAGAATTAAAATTTGATAATGGTAGATTGTTGATGCTGGGTAGTGGGGACTGAGAATCAAAGATGGGAAGAAAGAATGGAGGAGAGAGGATAGGAAGAGAAAAAGAAAGGTGAAAAATAGGTAGGAAGGTTCTACACTATAGAGAAATTGGATAGATGAATCCAAAGGTGAGATGAAAAAAAAAAAAAAAGACGAGAGATGGAGGACAAAGAAGAAGAAGTGCCTCAAGTGAGACTTAGGGATCCCACCACATCACTTGTAGCAAAAGGTTGCTCATGAGGACCAAAATTTAGCTATCAAAAGATTTGCATAATAAATGAAATATGAATTATCATTTTGGATTTAAGCATCCCCTATTATCATTGTTTTGATAGAGGGTCATGGCTGGAGGATTTAGACAGGCTTATCTCCATTGGAAATGTAAGATGTGATTATGTTATTTAGGTTCAGCTATTACAATTTTTTGTTGCAGTTACTATGTAGCTTGCTTTTAACTTGTCCTTACGGATTTAGGACTTTGCTAATAGTATGTTGTTTTGGTTCCGTGCATTAACTTTTGATGTTTGACTCCAAAATCTACTATCCTATTCTGTTCTTCTTGGCCCCTTCTATTGATTCCAGAGTTCTTCTTCTGTTATTATAGTTCTCCTGTTATATTGCCAGGCTACATTACCTCATGGCTGCTTTCCTTTTTTGCAGAAATTACATAACCAGTCTCGCTAACCAAAGTTGCTCGGTGTTTTTACAAGGCTGAAAAATGTCAACTGGTCCTGGACTTGAGTCTCTTGTAGATCGTATGCAAACTTCTGACAATCCATTTTCTTTGTTATATGTTCTATTCTATGCATTAGACTTTAAATAGAAAATAGGGTGGGGGCAGCACTAGCCACAACTTTTACCCTTTTTCACGCTTATAGTTTCCATATATGCGAGCTGTCTGTGATTATTAGTCAAATGCAATTCTAGAAAAATATATTACGCTTATAGTTTCCATGTATGCAAGCTGTATGTGGCTTGTAGTCAAATGCAGTTCTAGAAAAATATATTAACTTGGTTCCATATTTCCTTTGACATCAGATGAACCTTTTATGCATTCTGATATAGCCTATTATGAAATTAAACATTAGCAAAAAAATAAAAATGGTAATATAAAAAACAAAACATGAAAGAAGGGGCTCTTATGGTTTAGGTGGAGAGATTTTAGAAGAGAAATGGTCTAACAAATGGATATGTGAGATATAACTTCAGCTTCAAATTGGATTGCAACAACTCATTCTTTAATAAAAGGCCTTCTTGAGGTTATGCTTGTCAGGATTTGTTCCAAGGAAGTTAGTAAATACCAGGCAGGGTTTTACTAAATGTCTTTTTGCCATACATTTATCTTCTAATTTAATTTGGGAATATAGTATTCTCTTCCTCTTTTTCTCTCTCTCTAAAGCATTTCCTTTGTGGGCAGAGACAATTTCTGTTATTACAAATGATGGACGCAACATAGTGGTATGTTATTGTATCAATATACAAATTTCTTGATATTTAAAAAGGAGATATTTTTACTTCAATAATTTCTAAGTTGTTTTAAGCTGCAGTGAGATTCTAATTTTTCATTAATTATTGTTTTACAGGGAGTCTTGAAAGGGTTTGACCAGGCCACAAACATCATCCTTGATGAATCTCATGAACGTGTATACTCCACTAAGGTTCTGCCCTTATTCACAAACTTCTATTTGTGTTTATATTCCTTTTACTGATCAATTGGCACCTGAAAGATGTGTAAGGGAAAAATGTCTCTGATATTAGTTAAGAGGGTGATTTATTCACTTGAAAATATTTTCTCAGGATCTTGTTTTTTGCTTTCCTTTCTTCACTTCCCAAAATATTGTAACTTTGAGTCCTTGCTGCAGTGTTACTAATGCTGTGTTGAAATTTGCAGGAAGGCGTGCAGCAACTTGTGTTGGGTTTGTACATAATAAGAGGAGATAATATGTAATGTCATCATAACTTTTACTTCCATTTCTATTTTGCATTAAACTTAATTAGTTGGGAAAAAAAGAAGGCTGATTAGAGCGGTAAATTTATGTGACTTCCTATAATCTTTCCACATTCTACAATATAATATCTATCTTTATGTTTCTTGCAGAAGCATTGTTGGTGAACTCGATGAAGAGCTTGATTCTGCTCTTGACCTGCCAAACCTGAGAGCACATCCTCTCAAGCCTGTCATCCACTAATTCAACTGTTGCTAAGTAGGTGCCGTCCCATAATGGTACTCAAGTATATTGGCTTAGGACATGCAAATTGTTTCAATATGCTGTTCCTGGTGAATGTAATTTTAGGGTCTGGAAAATATTGAAATTGGTTAAAATTCTATGTAGGGGTGCTTCTGATTTCATACTTCCGAGCGCATGATGTTTTGTTTTGCAACGACATATCTAACATGTTTATTGGGAAATATATGAGCATGTAGATTACCGGACATGTTGGTTGAGTCATCTGCAAGATGTGCAAATGCCTTTTTCCCATTCACACAATTAGTACAAAGTACAAATTACAAAGACTCGACATGATTAGTGGAGATAAATAGGTATCAGTGATAGGGAATAAGGCATGTGTATGATTTTGACAAGGTTAAAACCTCACTTTGGTCCCGAACTATTGTACGGATTCTCGATTTGATCCCTGAACTAAAAAAAATCTTTGATTTGGTTCTTACTGTTTATCATTTTGACCCCGATTTGGTCTTTCTGTTAAAAACTCACCGTTACCTCACAACAATTTAATGACATGTCAAACATTTAAGACACGTTAGTTGTATAAATGAATAAATAATGACATGGCAACGTGACATATCATGTTCTTACCCAACCCAACAAAAGTGGGGCTCACCAAAATTACGAATTTACCATCATCTTCGTCCTCCAACAAACAAACCTAGCGCCTGGGTTGAATCGAACCCAACATGTGCCTTTTTTTTTTTCCTTCCTCTTCCTTGCCTTGCTTTCTTCATCATCATCAAACAACCAAACCCACAAAAGTGCTAGGTTCGACAGAACCCAAGCCTGGGTTCAGTCAAACTCAGGGTTGGGTTCCATGGAACCCAGCGCCTGGGTTCCAAAGAACCCAACACCGAACCAGCTGGGTTCGAGGGAGCCCAGCGCCTGGGTTCCAAGGAGCCAAGCAGCGGTTTCCGAGGAACCCAAGCCTGGGTTCCATGGAACCTAACACCGGGTTTGACGGAACCCAGGCCTGGGTTCCGTCGAGCCAATGCCTTGGTTCCATGGAACCCAACCCAGGCATGGATTCGATGGAACCCAAGTTTGGGTTCTGTCGAACCCACGCCTAGTTCCAAGGAACCCCAAGACCCCAAGGGAACGAGAAAGGGAAAAAAGAAGGAAAAAAAAGAGAGAGAAGGAATTAAAAAAAAATTGTCATATTAATATTTTTTTCCATGTCACTTTTTTATCAAGTTGTCTTCCACGTGTATTAATATATTACCATGTCATCATTTTACAATAAACTAACTAGACACGTAGGTAGAATGTTAACAGAAGGACCAAATCGGAGTCAAAATAGTAAACAGTAGGGACCAAAACAAGGATTTTTTTAATTTAGGAACCAAATTGGGGGTCCGTACAATAGTTCAGGGACCAAAATGGGGTTTTAACCTTTTGACAAATATTGGATTATCTTCGATCTTAGACATAAGTAAGGTAGCGGCTTGGCATCCTGTAGCCACATATATGCCTTACTAGATCTGAAACTATTAGCACGTTTTAAGTAAAATTGAAAATAATATAATTATAATATTAAACGTCATTTTAAGTTTACAATTTTAGCTTGTCATTAAAATTAGTGAGTTAAGTAACATATACTCATTCCAAACCCCTTTAAGTAGTGGTACATGCATCCCTCTAGAAACTTGTTAGGAAATATCGAAGGTATCCACAGGATCCCTTTATGTTAAGCAATAAAATTTTATTATACTTTGAAGAAAAATTGTTTTATAGTTCAGATTGTATCGGATTAAAAAGTAATAATCTTTGGATGGAGGGAGGGCCTTTTGAAATTTGGCCCTTCTCTCTCATTCGAGAGCTTTGATTTGGCAGTTTGGTATTGTTGTCTCCGAGATCTCCCTTTCTGCCCGCATGGCAGATAAGATTGCAAAGGCGTGCCATTCACTTTGCTCAAAGTGAGAGAGGGATTCTTGGTGACCCTCACTAGTTCCAAGTGTGGAACTCGACTGCGAGTCGATGGAAGAGCACTGGTTAAATAAATTATGAGATGTGCCATGGTCAGACGATTGTTGCAGAAACGGGGGTGCATTCCTGTATAAAGGTCCATAAATAATTGCCCTACAAGAACATCAGGGACTCCCTACAACTAGGGTCAAAATGTTAGTTGGTTGATCAAAATAAAAGAGGAAAATAAAGGAAAGGAAAAGAAAGAGAGTGCATGGAAAGAAAACTAAATTGCAGAGTGGAAACGTGATGCCGCCTCGAAAGCTTGAAAGCATAAAGAATGAAATAAAAGATGAAGTATAAAACAAAACTTAAAAGAACCTAGAAAGATGAATTTGGGGCAAAGTGCAGTAAATTGAATTGCAAAAAACTAAATACATTGAGTGGAGATGTTCACAACGAACTAACAAAAATAAGAGTTAAAACTAATGGCAGCGTAGAACTAAAAATTAAATTAGGAAAGCTATTTGAGAAAACTGGATCTAAACTAAAACATTGTTTGTAAAACTAAAATGTAGCTAGCGCTGGGCTAGTTGTGTGAGAGGTTGGTCCTCTTACTTCACTTCTTCTCTGCATCTTTATAGCAGTAAACCCCCTTAGTAGCATGCTTCGGAAATCTGTGGCAGCAACTAGAAAATCAACGGCAACATGAAATTTGAAACAAACTGATTATTCTGTTGATGTTGCTAATTATCTTCCTGGAAGTTCTCAACAAGCCAACCATTTTGCTACAGTTGTGGAAATAACCACTCAACATTATCCAGATATATTTACTCCAACTACTTTCAACCAATGAAATTCTTGTCAACATGGATGACAC